GTGGTCCCAGCTACTTGGGAGGCTGAGGCAGGAGACTCGCTTGAGCCCAGGAGTTAGAGGTTGCAGTGAGCTGTGATGCCACAGCACTCTACCCAGGGGGATAGCTTGAGGCTCTGTCTCAAAAAAAAAAGATGATCCTGTCTCAAAATAAAAGGGGGGGAGGGGAGAAAAAGAAACTCTGTATCCACTACTTCATTTGCTTTGTTCTTTTTTGTTTTGTTTTGAGACAGAGTCTCCCTTTGTTGCCCTTGGTAGAGTGCAATCATGTCATAGCTCACAGCAACCACAAACTCCTGGGCTCAAGTGATTTTCTTGCCTCAGCCTTCCAAGTAGCTGGGACAACAGGCACCTGCCACAACACCCAGCTATTTTTAGAGATGAGGTTTCGCTCTTGCTCAGGCTGGTCTCGAACTATGAGCTCAGGTAATCCACCTGCCTTGGCCTCCCAAGTGCTGGGATTACAGGTGCACTTCATTTGCTTTTAAAAACCCTCTGCAGCACCTCCTCTTTGCCGAGAAATGGTGCAGAGGCAGACCTTTGAAAGAGACAGATGACTGTAATTCTGAGGGCCACAGAACTCAGGGAGTGGCCATTTTTTCTGAGTCTTTACTATCACCCTAGCTTAGGGAGTGATTTTCATTATATTAATCAACTCTTTTGGACACAGCAACCACTGATTCTGACTGGCAGGCTAAGTAGGGGTCTTGCAGGGTGACCAGGAGTTGGGGGATCTATGGCTTAGAGCCTGTAGCTCAGTGGTTAGGGTACTGGCCACCTGCACAGGGCTGGTGGGTTCAAACCCAGCCAGGGCCTGCTAAACAACAATGACAACAATGATAAAAAAAAAAATGGCCAGGCCCTGTGACAGGTGCCTGTAGTCCCAGCTACTTGGGAGGCAGAGGCAAGAGAATGGCCTAAGCCCAAGAGTTTGAGGTTGCTGTGAGCTGGGACACCAAGGCACTGTACCAAAAGTGACATAGTGAGACTCTGTCTCAAAAAAAAACAGTTGGGGGATCCAACAAGAGCATGCTTCAGTTTGGGCAGGCCTGGGAGAGTGCTCGGCATCAGCTTGCAATGAGCTAGAGAGGGGTAGATTTGGCTCCACCATTGTGGATTTCCTCACCAGGTGCCCAGAGCCATTGCATCTGTCTTCTCATTTGGCCCTTGGTGGGTATAGGTGAGAGAGTTCATCTCAGATTTTAAGCAATTGCTTCATAATCACGAAGATTTTCTGAGACCTGGCCTAGAGTAATTACTACAGATAAACCACCACTTCCACTTGTCTTACCTGTCTTGAATTTGTCTTTGCAGAATTGCCTTTCTCACATGTAGTAGGGTCATGTTCAGGTTTATGTGCTGACCATAGCTCCTCTGTACCCCACCACTCTCAGGAGCTACCTGGAGTCCCTTAGCCTGGAGACCCAGACCCTGGAGAGCCAGGCCAGCCCCCTGACCTCCACCCTCCTCCCTGTCCTGAGCTAAAACCTTAACTCCACTTTTTTAAGGGGTGCAGCATACTTACAATCTATGAAAATGGGGGTAAAAATTTTTCCCAGGTTGTTGAGAGCATAAAGTACAAATACCTCAGGGACTTTGCACTTACTGTTTTCTATGCCTAGAGTGTTTTTTCCCACTCTCACAACTAAAATCATAAACTCCAGGAGGGTAGAGATGTGACCTACTTCCTTCCCTGCAGGTTTCCTAGCATCCAAGCACAGTGCCTGATGTATAATAAATATTCAGTTAATATTGGCTGGGTGCAAAATGAATAATATAAATAATCAAAATAATGTGAAATAACTTTTTTAAGGCTCGGTGCCTATAGCTCAACCGGCTAAGGCGCCAGCCACGTACACCTAGGGTGGTGGGTTC